CTACAAGAAATACTAAATCTATTTTTAGATTACTCTGAAACAGATTGCATGCAACAAGGATTACTATCTATCTGCAGTTGTTTGTTAGTTGTCTGTCAAGTCCGTAACAACTAAATAATAAAAAATAAGTATAATATTTCCTGCAGAAATGTATGCTAGATGGTGGTTTATCTGATTAATGCCTCAGCGAACAGTTACCGAAATCCAACCCTCCCCCTGTATCCCTCTTGAGTAGTCACTTTGTGTTGATGTCCTAAGCATCTGGTTGAGCCGTGTGTCTGAAGGTGTGCAATCCGGCCCACCCTTGTGCCCCAAGTCTACACCGAACCTGCCAGCCCCTGCACCTTATTTATCCTCGCATGCAACGAGCCTTAAACCCGGTTTGATCTGGCTGATCAAGAGGCAGTTTTAAGGACAGCCCCAAGGTCCTCATGAATTATTTAAGGTCGCAGACAGGACGACGATCACAGCCAGAATCAACACCGAGTCCCCGCCAGAAATATTTAAAGACGGTTTGGTAAGCGTCTGTCCAAAGGGCTGGCATGCCCTGCATGACCTCTATTGCGCAGCAGCAAAACCAAGGACTTGCGGCAAAGCATGCGTGTACTAGTCCCAGCGGGTTGGCATGGTGACTATGACCCGAGTGCTTCATCCAGGGCCCTTCAGAGGCTTCGCGCGTCTCCCACCGGCTTGCTGCCCAGGAAGAATGTCGACTCTCAAGGTTGAGCGCTCACGACACCTCACATTGAGAGGACTCTCAAGCCAGAACTCACTTCTCACGGAAAGAAGCAATGAAGAGGGTAGATAAGGAAGAGAGCAACGTACCTCATAATGCTGCCCCCAACCACAAATTTCTCACCGGCAACCTGATGTGCATTTATGATGACCGGTCTTTGCCTCGGCACAACCAACAGCAGAATGCAGTTCCATCTCGGCTTAAATGCCACATCAGCGAGCTCTCATCATCCAGCGTTCACCCCTAATGTCACCACATAGCTTCCCGGCGCGCCCACACGACCCTGGGCCGCCTTCTATTCAACGCCCAAGCCTTATCACTGCACCACACCTCATGCGAAGCACCGAACAACTATGGCGAAGAACCAATGAAGCGCAGTTCAAACCGACTCCAATACCAAATTGCAAGGTAAATGAGCAGTAGCGAGATGATAATAACCAGAATGCACAATCACATTGAAGGCCAGATAGTATCGCAGTGTCCGGAAAGCAGAAATGCACCAATATAACACCAATGAAGATTCGTAACACTGAAAACCAATGTCAATGAGAGCTAGCTCTCGCCACCACCAACATGAGTGTCCAGGCCCTATCTTCCTACTTGGCGCTTGGCGCCCAGCCTACTTCCTACACAGCTATAATCTGCCTGCTAATTGACAATGCAACTGTTGACGCCAGCAGCTCACGAAGTACTTGAAGATGTCGCCCAAATGCAGACCATTGCCAATACCAGGTATGTACCCTCACATCATCATCATCATCATCGTTCTCTCCCTCCCCTGACTTACTCCCACGTCTTGCCCCTGTACACCCGAAGACCAGTCCAAGCCCATCCAGCTATGGAGGCTGGGCTATGGCGCTGCCCTCAGCAGCGCCCTGCTCCCTGCTCCCTGCATGACCGCACGCGCTAGCACCTTGCCTCTCAGTGCCAGCAGCAGCCCACGAGCGTCCGCTCCAGCAGCGTTGCCGCCAGCATGCAAGTGCTGAACGAGGCTCCAGGCAGCAAGCTCTTTCCTATATGGAAAGAGCCTGCCTGCCTTCGGAGCCTGGCCCAGAAGCTTCCGGTAGGCCCCAGGATGCTGCACCTCTGTTGCAGCTACTGGGCCTCATTCGGTTGGGCCTCCCAATTGTCTGTGTATGAGCCTGCGATTCTCGTCCAGGGCCTGCATCATTTTGGAAAGGCCTGGAAGGCCGTGGAATGTCTCTCTGCTCGGCCTGTGTTTCCCTCAACCAACTGGCGCGACGAAAACTGCCTGGACCCCAAATACGATATTGACAGCTTAGGGCCTCTCGTGATTTGTTAGGCCCGCCTTCACTTAGGGCGGGCGCATCTGCTGCAAGAGGCCCCTTAGGCCTGCTGAGGACCCAGATCCTCGCATTTTTTTCTAAATTCACGAAAGTGGACTTGGTCAAAATGTCATTGCTCATTGAGTGAGAAAGTGGTTATCTCACTTTGTCCATCTGATGTACCTCAACGTAAAGTACCGAGATCAGATCATCGGATGAGTTACCACAACACCCGATGATCTGATCATCTGATGTCATGGGAACAAAAAAACACTTAAAAATGCTGTTTTTTGGTCAACTGGTTGTTCTCCTGCCTCAAGTGGACTAGCAGACTGCTCGGCTGCATCCCCAAGGCCCCATGCGGCGCCATCCTCCTCTCCCTTACTCGTGTTAGCTGTCTCTTCCTTCCTTTCTCTTTTCCTCCTGATTTGGTCTCAGAACATACTCGGTCAACAATATTTCTTCTATAAGAACAAGTGGACCCGCCGCCCCCCCACAGATTGGAGAAGAGGTAGAGGCTCCGTGGTCAAGGTGGGCCGAGTAAAAGGAGGAAAACAGGAAGAGACGACTGGCGCCCAAAAGCAGCATCAGCAGGATATAGTTGTTAGACACACAGTCACACAAAGCAGTTTGCAGGCAAATATCAGCATTCCATTTTCTGCACAACCAAGTCATCAAAGTCTTCAGCCCGCTATAAGCTGAAGCGGGCAAGGGAACAAGAATGGGAAAACAAGCCCTCTCCACTGCTCATGAAGATGATAGAAGTCAATTAGAAGTCAATTGGAAGTCAATTAGACGTCAATTAGAAGTCAATCAGTAACCATATATTGAGTAGCCTGAATGTCAAGGTAGCTTATCTCCTGCTCGCCAGGTAAAGAAGTCCCCTGGGTCACACTTGAACTTCCGGAGGTCCTCTTGCACAAATGCCCTTCACCCTTCTCAACTTCACCTCCTTGCCCCAGCACACTGCTCCCCTCTTCTCACCAATCCTAATCCACCTCTGAGCCCTAATCCGAGGTAGAAAACACTCGAATACCTCTCCGAATTAGGCAGGGCAGTCCGGAAGTCACTCGGCACCTTAATACCTCTTGCCAAGCCCTGATCCGATGTATATAGTACCCAACACCTGTCGGATTAGGGCTGAAGTGGTAGCAAAGAAACTCGCCACCTTAATCGAACCTCACCAGGCCGCCTAATTATCTCCGCATTAGGTTTAGGGCTGCTTGAGCACCTAACTCCAGCAAGTAACGTCTAGCTCCGGTACCAATTGTCATGCGTCCTACTGCATCCATAATGCAAAACTCAAATGTGAAAAAGTGCAAGGCTTCCTGAACTCAAAAGAAGAAGTGGAGGTCATTCGGGATATCTGTTAAAATTGAAATGATACGGAGAAGATTAGCATGGCCCCTGCGTAATGAAAAATTAAAAAAAAGCGTAAAAGAAAAGAAGTGGAGAGAGAAAAAAGAGCGGCATAGAATGAGGAGAATAGAAGAAGAAGTACACAAAATGAAACAAATGTCTTCCTGGTCTCTTCGTCACCCTCACTTCTTCTCTCCCTTCCTCGTCCTCCTCACATAATGAACTAATTAGTAATTAGTGATTACGAGAATTTACGACACTAAATGAATGAATGAACGGGAACCATGTCCAAGTATTCCCCCTTACTGCCAGCACTGAAAGAGCTCTCCTTTCAGCCCCAACCTCACTCCTCTCCTCTCGGTTGCATCTCTGGCTATGGTGCTCATCCACATTCATCATGGACGTTCAAAGGACAACGCAAACATTACTATGCCTCTCCCATCCCAGCCCGCCATAGCCACACTCTCGGATGTGGTCTAAGGCCAGCCAGTACCCACACGGCGGCCTTCTACATGCAGCACCAACCAGCGAAATGGAGATAAAGGTCCACACATAGCTCAAGGTGAGTGCCCCGGGTTGGTTCCTCTCTCTCCCCCTCTCCCCCTCTCCCCCTCTCCCATGCTTCCCCTCTCAACCTCCACATCCTTCTTCTGCCCTTTTCCGTAGCCTGACATGAGGCACTTCACCCTCCGACTCCATAGCCTAGGCCTACACCCTACTACTACTACTACTACTACTACTACTACTACTACAACTACTACTACATAGCCATGGAGGTCTTTTTCCTCACCTTCAAGCTGCACTAGCTCCACCTAACTTCCCCCTCTGGGTGGAGCAGCAGCTTGACTGCCGGGTAATGTGTTCCCTCACTCATTGTGGCTGAATGGTATCCTCTTGCAACTCAGCCTCCGGCCTCCCTCGGTCATAGGCCTACTGAAGTTCCTGCCTTTTGGCGGGAGCATCATTGCAGGTACAACCCTGACTACTCATGACCTGTTTGGAAGCTACCGAATCCTTCTAAGCCTACTAGACCTCAGCTGGGCCTATCCAAAATCCCCTACTGTGCACTACCCAAGTTCTACTTACATCCTGTCGGTCCTGGTCTTTTTACCAGTTCATCCTGCATCCTATGTGAGTCCTATCCCTCTGGTTCCCCTATTTCTTAACTACTACCTCTTCCTGCGACAAAGAAAACATACGGCGAGAAGTTGAGAACGTAGTACTCCGCATGCCCATCATAATCACTCACTCAAGGACTTAGGTGCATGCATGCATGCAAGCAGCAATCTCACTCTGAACATGGAAGTCCAACAGAGCTGGCTGTTGAAAGTTGAAACAGGAACCTCATTAATTATGCCGCTGTAATGGCGACTGTGTGTTGACCCCAGTGCACTGTATTGTGAATGATGGCCTTGTTGAGCAGGATGCTGCATTGGTGGCGATTCAGTTGGCTGTTCGTCCAAGCTTCAGAGTTTGAAATGAACTTTTGTATTGAGAGGAGGACGCTCTGCCTGCACGTGAATGGCATCCTTGTTGAGCAGTGGTACCCCGTGGTGGGTGCAGCCTTCAGTTCAAGCTTTACAGTTTCGAAATCAGCTGTCACATAAACGAGGAGCATGGCCTGCCTGCGTGCTTTACTGAGAACCGTTGCACGCTAGGAATGCATGGAACTGTGCAGAGATGGCGAGTGCAGCAAGACAGGAGCCGGCAGCGCTGGCATGTGCCCAGTTCTGCCTCGCACAAGCATATGAGAAGGGGAGAGGCGTCACAAAAGATACAAGGAAAGCTGCAGAGGTAATCACTATACGGTAACCAAATTAGGCCAAGCTGTTATGTAACATTGGGGGGTTTTATGCATACTGATATACGCAACCCTTGTCTGAGCTATTTTCACATGGGTTCCCAACTTCCCAACCTCTCTTTTTTTTTGTGTGCGCGCCGTGGGGTCGTTTTAGGGGAGGGGACAGGGTGTCATCATGAAAGATAGCGAGAAAGTTGCAGAGTCATTCTTTGAGGGTGTCAAAAAGGGATATCGAGAAAGCTGCAGCGGAGTTATTTAGCCAAGTTGTTGTATGAGTCTCCGTTGCATGTGTATGGATGTTTATCCACGTCTCAGTTATATCCGCAATTTTGCAACCGATTTCCTGTCTGCTTTTGTTTTTCTTTTGAATTTGGACCATTTCTCAATTTATGTGCGTCATCGTTGGGCCGGGGCTATGTTGAACCTCTCTGTATCGTCTCCAATTTAACGGATGCCCTGATAACTCTTCTGTGATTTTAGTTTTTCTTTATTATGTTCTTGAAAATGACATGAAACTTCAAAAGCATAGAAATTATCATCGGGGCAATGTCGACAATAAAATAACCCAAAAGAGAAGAATGTTAAGTGTGTGAAATGACTTGGGTCATTTTTTAGGCCGTGAAATTCAGGGCCTCCCGAATGGGTCAGACGAGTCAGATCCTTTGGAGGGGGCGGGGATGGCCCAGGGGCTAGACACCTCCCGAACGTTTATGAAGGTGACAGTGTACCGCAGTATTTGCTTGGTAGAATTGATTGATGTTTTCCTCTGTATGTTTCTTTTCATGAAAAAGAAAAACAATGTGCGTGTGTGTGAGAATTAGACGATGAGTCACTGACCCTCTATGTCATGCGGGCAAAGCCGCACTGGCCCATCTTGTAGTCAATTACGTAACAACAACAACTGAATGAATGAACAGGAATCATGTCCGCGTAATCCCCCTTATTGCCAGCACTCAAAGAACCCTCCTTTCGGCCATAACCCCCCACTTCTCTCTCCTTGTTGCAACTAGCACGATCGGGAACATCCATGCTCATCACAGATGTTCAAAGGTCAATGCAATCTCTACTATGCCTCCTCCATCGCTTTTTCCACCATAGTCATGCTCTCGGTTGAAGTTTAAGACCAACTGGAACTCACACGCCTTCTAGATGCAGCGCCAAGGAAGTGAAGATGAAGGGTCAACCATAGCCGTAGGTAAGTCTCTCTTGCCGGTTCCTTTGTCTCCCCCATTCCTCAACCTCTTTGCCCATCTCTCACTCTTCTCCGTAGCCTGGCATGGGCCACTTCACCCTCTACCTCCATAGCCAAGGCGTACTCCCTCTTACTACTACACCTCCATAGCCAGGGAGGTCTTCTTCTCCACCCTCCAGCTCCACTGCTCAGCAGGAGCTCTGCCTAACTTCACCCTCTGGGCGGAGCAGCAGCATGTCTGCCCAGTAAGATATCGCTTCACTCCTTTTACCAACGATATACCCTTGTAACTCGGTCTCACATCTTTTCACTTAGCTTGTGGCACCGCCACTCCTCCGGGGTACTAGGCCCTACTGGTAGTTCCAGCCTTTTGGTATGGGAACATCATTGTAGCCTGCAAGTCTACCTACTTCAGGGCCTGAATCTAACCTGCCTGATATCCAGGTTCGGGCTCGCTGCATCTCGAAGGCCCCGAAGTGGGTTCCGGTTGGTCTTGGACTTCAAAACCAAGAGCATGGCTTTGGGCAGCAGCTTTCAACATGGTCGTCATTATTTTGAAAACTTGTGGACACAAATTTGACACTGTTTTGGACATATATCATATGAGAACATTTTTGGAATTCTTCTGGACACGTGTTTGCAAAACTTTTGCACAGTTTTGACACTGTTTTGGAGAGCATTTGGGTGCATTTGTTCTTTCCTTTTTCGGAACGTTGAATGATTGAACATCGTGTTTTGGGGGGGTTGTTTTTTTTTTCCGGCATTTCCTCCATGAACGCACACTTTTCTGCAGTTGTACCTGATGGCAGCTGACGAGGGTCACTATGGAGCGATGCACAATGCTGCAAGGTGCTATGCTACCGGAAAGGGGCTAGTAAAAGATCAGACTGAAGCAGTGATAAGGTACGCTGTTGCAGCATCTGACGGAAATCCTGCATCACAGTTTGCATTGGCAGAAATGTATGCATCTGAACGGAATCAGAAGGCGGCAGAGGAAACATACCGAGCAGCAGCAGAGCAGGGTCATCCTGAGGCTCAGCTTCGGCTGGCTGATTTGATTGGCCTCGGGCACTTGGAAGACTCCAGAGCGTGGCTGGAAGGACGGATATTCCGAACTCAAGGACCTGATTTTGCGCTTGAACATCGGGCGTTTCTCAACTGGATCAGCAGATGGAAGGTCCAAAGTCAAAAGGAGTACGAGGAGGTGACGACGTTACTGCACAAGGTCAGTGTTCTGCATTGCGAACCACATGCACACATCACAAAGTGGAACAACAATGTGTATTTGGCTTTCGCCGCTTTACTATAACAGCGAACTTAGAGAATACAATTCAATACATATATCAAGATAGCATCGCAATACGTGAAACCATCACCATTCTGCCTATTGCTGCGCAAGTGATTGAGAACCACATGCGGCTCAGCAGGTATTGCAAAGGAATAGGCGGATTGGTGCACTGCAACTATGTCTCAGTGTGACTCTCTCTGATATTTTTCATCGAAGGACTGGACAACAATGAAAAGTCATATTCGGCGAAGTTACTCAGAGAGTACTTTCCTTGGTCTGCCAGCCCACTACCTTATCCGCTTATTCATTCAACCAGCCATCCATCCATCCATTTATCCATCCATCCATCCATTTATCCATCCATCCACCTATATCCATTCATACTTGCATCTGCCGGCTCATCCAGGCATCAATCCATCCATCCACCCACCCGCTCATCCACAAACCCACCCACCCACCCACTAATCGGCTCAGATACCCTTACACTTCCTTTTTCATTCTCTGCCCCTATAATCTCTCTCTCTCTCTCTCTCTCTCTCTCTCTCTCTCTCTCTCTCTCTCTCTCTCTCTCTCTCTCTCTCTCTCTCTCTCTCTCTCTCCCTAATGTTTAGGGTATAGGGTTGGCGCCCCCAGTGGCGATCTGGCTAACACGAAGACCGAGAGTCCGAGACCTGCCAGGGGCCTCGTCCCACCTGCACCACCGTTGAGTTGAGCTACCTCCACGGTGTGACAGCTTTTCAAGCATTTTTTTATTCCGTAGAAAAGAAGAATGCATCTTTTTTTATTTTTTATTTTTCCCGCCCACACATTTCTTTGGAATTTTCGTCTTCTTTCCCGTGTAGCAAATCGATCCATGTCACTTGCCACATTAGGAAAGTCGACAGGTCTTTTTCCATCTTTCCATCTTTCCATCTCTCTCTCTCTCTCTCTCTCTCTCTCTCTCTCTCTCTCTCTCTCTCTCTCTCTCTCTCTCTCTCTCTCTCTCATCGGGGTGGAATGAGGATTGGGATGGGGGTGGGGATGGGTAGGGATCAAATCGGAATCGGGCTGGAACCGGGGTGGGCGCGAGATGGGATCGAGTCAGGGTTGGGATGGAAGCGGGGTAGGGCTCAAATTGGGGTGGGGGAACAAGTCGAGATGGGATCGGGGATGGGAAACAAATTGGGGTGGGGCGAGGGTTGGGATAGGGATGGGATCGGGGATGGGAAACAAATTGGGGTGGGGCGAGGATTGGGATAGGGATGGGATCGGGGTGGGGATCAGCTCGGGATTGGGATGGAACTGGGGTGTGCCCAGGGTGGGATCGATTGAGATGGAGCCAAAGTGGGGATTGAGTCGGGATTGGGATGGAACCGGGGCGGAACGGATCGGGATTGGGATGGAACCGGGGTGGGAGCGAATCGGGAGCAAATCGGGATCGGGGTTGGGGTGGGAACGGATCGGGATTGGGATGGCGGGATCAAACTAATTGTAACGATCCTGGCTTCTGGTGTTGACAGAGGGGGCAAGTGGTTTTGAAGGGATTAGAATAGGAGACATAGATCAGACCATGAGGCGGGCGAGGAGACTTGGCGAAGAAAAGTCGTGACGAGAGGGAGGGGAGTAGAAAAGAAAGACAACGAAAAGATTTGGGGGACAATATCGTAGCGTGGAGCTGTGAGTGGTGAAGCAGAAGCGGGAGATGGTTTAGAAGCGACGCGCCGTTCTCACTCTACTCTTGCTTGGAGGCATGCGGATAGAGTTTGAAAGTGGCAGGCTTACTGCCCTTGTCTTCTTCCGTGATCGTTCTTGAAGGCCGAAATGTTCCTTCTCTCTCGAGCTCTAGTCCCCGATCAGGCGCTCCCAGAATTGTTTTTCATAACCAGCATCGAGTGGCCGGCTTGACTACGCCCACGAGGTGTATCCCCGCTGCCCTGCTATGCAAACCAGCCAGTCGGGCTATGGCTGCTTGAGGGAGATGTCTTCACTTCGGAGGGCGAACGTCGCCTCGGAGGAATCCGCTTGACTTCTTCCCTTCTTCGTGACGAGCTTCCTTGTCTCCCTTCTCCTTGTCTCGTCTTTCCTTGGTCGGGTGCTGCTAACTTTTCCCCTTATGTTCCTCACTTCCTATCTCCTCTCTCATCCTTTCCCCTTTTCCACCTGTCTTTCCTACCCTTATCCGTGCATAGCCACGCCCGAAGGCGTGGCGGACAGCTACGGATGCCTTCCTTCACCTATCCTCTCAACCTCGAGCTACCCACATGGAGATGGCGCGCGCGTGAAAAAGCGCGCGAAGTGAAGTGTGCTGGTTTGAAATTACGCGCCTTGCGGACGCGGCAGCTAGCGCAAGAGAGGCGCTTACCGAGCGGCGCTAGCGCAAGTTTTTCCGGCCTGGACTTTCTTCTTCTAAGTCCATCCGCCATCCAAATTTCCATCCCACCCCTGTAACTTCACCTACTGGCTGTTCTACCCCTCACGGGACTCAGAAACACAGCACAAGAACAGAGTTAGCACACAGACATACACTCTGAAGCGTGAGATAGACTCTCCCACACACACAGCAAAACAGACAGGCTTGGAAATCTGAGCAAATCAGGCGCGCAGACAGCTTTTCTCAAAAACAATGCGGAAATCTCAGACTGCAACTGTGTGGGTCATTGCATTGCCCAGAATAGAAAGAAGCCGGGACCACAAGACCCTGTCAAGAAAGGAAAGGAAAAGACAAAAAGTATCACTTGCACCTTTCTTAGGGTTTGGAACCACGAGGTGCAATTTCATGGGACTCCTGCGCCGGTGCCCCAAAAATAAGTTGCTTCTGCCTCAGGTGATGATTCTGTGTTTGCAACAGATATTCATTCATTGGGTACGACTGTGTGCAAAATTGGCATCAGAGCTTGAATTTGGGAGATGTTGCTGATTTTTGCCCTTGTGTCTCTCTGTTCAAATGCATGGATGTGTATCATATCAGTCTGCCGTTCAGGGCAATGCCGAGGCATACGACAAGCTGCAGGAGATCAAAATCTTCTGGCTCGAGGAGAGGTCAT